GAAATCGAGATTTGAGCGTAGCTGCACAAGCCATTCACAGACCCAGCATATGTGCTTGAATGGCTACCCCAGAGCTATCCAGAGTGGAGATTATCATCTCCAGTACTCTGACATTATTGCCTGAGCCAGTTACATGGGGGTACTCAGGCATGAACCATCCCTTGTTAGACGATGTGGACAAGCCCTGCAGGACAGCAAAGTCCATAGGTTGAGGAAAGTAACTAGGGAAGATGAAAGAGAGACAGAGATGAGGACTGGAGAAAAGGGCAAGCCTGAGAATAAGCTCCTAATTCACTGCAATGAATGGCAAGCAATCCTGAATATAAGGATTTAATTTTTTTTCTCCTAAATTGGACAAAAGCATTGGACCAGGCTGCCCAGGGAAGTGGTTGAGTCACCATCCCTGGAAATATTTAAAAGTCGTGTAGATGAGGCGCTTAGGGACATGGTTTAGTGGGCATGGTGGTGTTGGGTTGACGGTTGGACTCGACGATCTTAGAGGTCTTTTCCAACCTGAATGATTCTATGATTCTATAATCTCCAGTATTCAGGATGACATAGCAAAGCTTGGTGGCCTGTGTGGTTATATTTCAGCTATTGAATAGACTCTGCAGAGGTTGATCTCTTTGGTGAGAAACCGGGGGAATGCAGAGATACTTACTTGGCAATACCAGAGGATGAAAAAGTATCCTTGGAGGTGGTTGCTGTGTCTTGTCCTATATCCACACCTTCCTGTAAGTGTCCTCTGCTGCCCAGGGTCAGATGTGGAACAGGGGAGTTTGATGTGATCTGGTATGAGTTTTCATTCTGCATACACCATTGTGAATGGAGACTTTTATAATATGCCCTCACCGGGGAAATGTGGCACCTGACTGGTTTTAGACATGGTCTGAGTTGTTTGCAGTTAAGTGATTTTTGTAGTTTTGGAGGCTCTTGTAACTTGACATAAGGCTAGTTAATGTTGAGGAACCAACAGTGATTTGCATCTGCTGATAAAATGACCATTAATTTTTTTGTTCAAGATAACTTTTTTTTTTATCTCTTAGGCTGCAATGATATGTTTACCAAATGGTAGGGCAAGGAGTAAGAAAAGGAGATAATGAATTTCCAACACATCGCAGCGGAGAAATACTGACAAAATTGTTTTGAAGTAGAAATAATTTATTTCACTAGAAGTAATTAGTCTCTGAGCTTGAATGGAGGTCGAATTTCTGTCTGGCCAGTTCATCTTGGTTTTGTTAAATTTAAAAACAAACAAACAAAAAAACCCACTCATGGATTACTTGTACTATGATCACATCACATAGTGTGGTGACTTTGCAGTGTCAGACCCTATAAAGCAATCTTGAATGGAGTTAAAATGCCACAAGAGAAACATGGCTTCTAGGCAGAGGCAGCATCTTTTCCTAGATGAATAGTTTAAGTTGGAAAAACTGTCTAATGGAAGATTCAGATGAGAGTAAAAATACTCTAATCCCCTATAATGAAGGCAATAGGAGCACATAATTAGCTGAGGACATCCACTAATGCACTGAGGGGGGAAAAAAGTGATTGCTAAAAACTTCTAGAAGTGCATAGGAACTCAGACATGAATGAGGACTCCCCTATGGTAGGTGCCAACAAAGTAATCAAAATCTAAAGAATAAATAGGAAATATATACAGAAAATGTTAAGGACGTATACCAGTGCTAATTAAAAAATAACTACTAAAACAATCTTATGTGCACAACAAGATTTTTTTTTGTGTGCTTTAACTCTCTAACTAGGAATATTGGGCTTTTATTAAATATCTTTCACTGTGCTTTTACAAAATAGTCATTAGTGTAAGAGTACTGGTGACTGGCTAAAGCGTATTTTCCAAAATGGTGCAGAATAACACCGCACAGATAAATGTTGATAAATGTTTAGAGAGAGTCTGGTGTGGAGCTGGATGCTTGGACAAAAAACATGTATGGGTTAGCAAACACTCGGCTCTGTCAAGAAGCAGCGCTGACCTCATGCAGCCAAAGTTAGCTCTCCTTTGCTGCTGGCTCTGTGCATGAACTGATGCTGTTTTCTTTACTGTCTGGCTATTGCTGGTATGTTTAATCGGAAGCAGCACAGGGCACCTCTGGAAGAATGAAAAAGAATAGAAAGAATGACGATAGTAACACTGAGAAATAGAAGCTGACGGCGGCGAGGCAGAGACAACAGGATGTAAAGCCTTTCAACTCGAAGCTGTAAGTTCAACTTTTGGGAAAGAGCACTAGTGACTGGCTGCAAGTCATTTATATCTGGAAGCCTAGTTGAAATGCACTCTTGTCTCGAAGATCTCAAATAGCTGTAATACCTACTGGTGGGACATGAACACATGGATAGAGAAGGAGAGCAAAGGTCTTCCACATCCTGAGTTATGGTGTCCTTAGGGAATGACGTGGAAACGTAGCGATGGGGGTCAGCTGTGGAAACCCGCACTGCACGTGCTGTGATTATTCCCTGGAAAACACCACGTACACAGCTCCAAGGCAAGCACAGCTTACAGAAACACTGTAGACTGCAACCCTTCCACAGTATGTCTTTGACTTTAGTACTACTATGCAGATTAGACTCCTCCGGCCCTGCCACGAGGGGCAACTCTGCCCAAGGGACTACTTGCAAACCTTCTTTACTACAAAATATACATATTCCCAAGTCTATAATGCCTTTTGTATAGTGTGGATGGGATACCTCTTGAGTGATTTCTTGTGACCCTTTGAACAGTAACATAAATGATGGAAAGAATTTAGAAGAACAAGGTAAATATTTACAAACTTGTGTTATAAATCAGTGGTCTTGTAATTTCTCTCACCCTCAAGACTGTACTTCCATGCATGTGATAAATGACTTCATTGCTCAGCCTGGATTTTGGTGCAGTTGTCTACACAAGCTGTCAAAACAGAGGCAAAGAACCAGAGACCTTGGAAGCTTTGAGATTGTCTCATGTAAGTTAGTGAAAGAAAATTGCTTAGCTTTCCTTCCATATATATGCTTCCACAAAAAAAGAGGTCCTTGCTTTTTTCTCACGTGCAATATAGTTTCCAGTCACAGTTTTGTCAGGGAAATTAGACTGCAGTTTCTAAAGACGACCTCTTGTTTTCAGGTTTGGAATCAGAGTGGCATTAGCCCAGAGAATGGATCGCATCATCTCAACTGGTCAACAGAAACAAAGATATTCACTGGCTGAGCCAGGGAATTGCACAAGTTCATTGTAAAGTAGAAAAACTCCCACGATAGAAAGGAGGGATGATCATCTCGTAGTGAAGTATGTAAAGTTCAACCCAAGGCTTCTGCCACAAGCATGGCAGGCTTCAAACAATACATTTTAACTGCAATTCATATTGCTTCACGGTACTAGCAATTCTAAATCAATATTTTGGCTGCATGTTGGAATGCAATGTTGCCGCAGAGACTGAGACAAATCTTGCCCTTAGAATTAGATGAATACGCATATGTGTACAAGAGGAGGAAATACAGTTGATTTGATATTCCTGGCTGGGATACAGCTTAATAAACTTATTTGTATCTCCTCTTCCTGCTTCTTGCAATGAATTTCAATATTCCTGTCTTTTCATCAAAATAAAGTCACAGTATCCTCCTTTAGGATTTTTTTTTTCCTGACACCCTCCCCTCCAAAATCTCATGACATGGTATGAAGTGTTCCTTACGAGCCCATGGAAAGAGTTTTTATAGGAATTTTGCAAGCACTTCGGTAACTAATGAGACACCTAAGGCTCCTGATGGAATTTCCTTTGCGCCTGTTGCAAGTACATCCAAATGATCTGTCTATGGTTTGAGCAGTCTCTCTGAGTGGGCAGCAGGTAACTTGACCCATGCAGAGCTCTATTTATTACTAAGATTCAGCTAGGATGAATTATACCTGAGGCAAATCACACCTCCCAAACTCTTTTAAAGTAATTCTCACCTTTTCCATCCACAACAATTTTCTGCAATATTGTGAAATCCTCCTCAAATTTTTCCATGATGGCCAAATTTATTTTTCATGGGGCTGTCAAAAGTGACTTTCTGCATGAAAATTCGGCTTTGACAGCCAGTCTGTAGCCTGCCCCTGGTTTGTCAGGGAAACAAGGGGTATGAGCTCATGCAGTCGGTCTGTCTGTCTCCCGCTACAGACCACTGAGCTGGTTGACTCCTTGGGACTAATTTTGGTGGGATACAAGCAGGAACTGACAGTTTTCCCATCGTGAGCTGGAAATGCAGGAGATTACCTCAAGGGATAGATGCAACTGCAATCTGCAGGCAGCAGGAAGGAAGGCTGTGTGTACCATGTGAGCTATGGCTGACAAGATGGCCGATGCAGCTTTCCTAGCAGAGCTACTTCTTAGGCTTGACCCTTTCAGCTTAATAAAGGCTTTCTCTCAAAGTTCTTTGCTTGGGCATCACTTGGTATTATGGAAACCGAGAAACCTCTCTTTGACCAGGCTGTTGCTTTACTGTCATTAACCAAGGAATTCTATAGGCAGGAGTCATCTTAGTATTGTTCTCTTTTTATCACTAATCTTTATAAATAGACATAGCCCCTTGACCAAATCCAATCTTATTTCAACAGGTGAAAAAAGTAGCACACGTGTGAAATAACTCCACTGACACCAGTGGAATGAAACGTTAAATTGGTGTAAATATGAAGAGAAACAGAAGAACTAGGAGGCCCGTTGCTACTGCTGAATTTGTTGTACTCCATCTCAGATTATAAGGCCCCGCAGTCTGTTTCTATAATAAAGGCAGGTAAAGATTTTGTTTTGGAGGTTTTTTTTTTTACTGAAAGATAGGACATTCGAATTTTGCAACTCTGATGACACCAGTCCAGATTTCCAGGACTGAGAACAGCAGCTTATCTGGGGAACAATTTTTTGTGGTGTCTTGTAGTCCACGTCAAGTTCTGTTTAAGTCTTACCCACGTTTTACAAAGTCAAGAGCATTCCTAGTTCCAAGCCTGTATGCCAGCAGGTCTGCGCTTCTCCTACCTGTTTGTGAGGATAAACATTAATGTGGCACTTGATACATTCTTGTCCCATGTTAGCCCAGGAGTTTCCACTCATCCATTTTCTCTTGCATTTGGGGCACTTATATTCACCAAAGCAGCGTTTCTTGCCCTGGTATGGAGTCAGGCCTTCTCCTTTTGGACGAGCCTACAAAACAAAGGGAAGTAGCAATGAATGACCAAAAAGGGGTGCAGGGCAGTAGTACAAAAGTAAGCCTTTTTAATTAGGAAACTTGGGGCAGAAGATACTGGAGGCAGACATGAAAGTCGTATCCCCTTAATGAAGAGTTTGTATGTTGAAGCTAGGGTTTAACAGTTCTGAGAGTTACTTCTGTAAGAAGTATTCAAACGTTCAAGACGACTTGTAACACTTGTAAGTGACACTGAACATAGTATTTAGAAATAGGCCTGTGCACTTTTTGCAATGAATAGTTTTAATAACCGTTTCATTATAAGATCATCCCTATTGAGTACGTATTGCTAGTATTACATATAGCATCTGGAGAAGTAGCTCACTGGTGAAGGACTGTATTTCTTTAACTAGATCTTTGTCTATTCCCCACTAGAACCTACCATCAAGAAAACTTTTTATAATTCAGCTTTGCACAGCCTCTAAACAATGAAATAGTGGCAATTCATTAGTATCTGCATATGCATTATTATATGGGAGTGCACAAACTGGGACTGAGTATGAAGGAAAGACATGTTTTTGATTAGTGGAAATCATTAATTTCATGAACTTCATTTGGTTTCTTGGTCTTGGTAAATGGTTTCACAGATTTCTACATTTTGAAGGAAGTAGGAAGGGATTCTCAAATGGACTGTTATGATGTCTAAATGTGAAATGTCCCCTAAAGAAAGCCTTTTTATCTCGGGAAGCTAGTGGAGTAGACGCTGACCTTATGCAAATACCATTTTTATTTTTTCTAAATACACTGACTAAAATTGTGTGTTGTACTTAACGAAAGTATAGTAAGGTGCACAATATGCTAATATGTTAAGGTGAAGATGAGAGTATTGCATACAGCTGTCCTGAAGATAGCTGTAAAGATGAAGCCATTTCCCCAGAGTCTCTAGCAGGTGTTGAAATACTGCCCATGCATTCACTGTATTTTGTTTATTGTTGCCTAGAGGGAGATGCTTCGCCTGTAGAGTGGCAGAACGGTATGATCACCTATCAAAGGATTCTTTGTCATTTATTTATGTGTCACGCCTCTGCGGCTGCTTTTTTTTTTTTTGAGGTTCCCAGATGAAGTTTACAAAAGTTAAATGGCCCATCATGCTGGGAAAGGGTTTGTTTTTGTTTCGGGAGCTTGTATGATTTCTCAGTGTGTAGGTCCAAATTGCTTTCTATGTGAAAACATGGGTTGAAAAAGCAGGTGGTTGGCAGAAGACGTGAGCTTGGCAGGAGCTCTGAGACTCGAGCTCCCGTGGCTGATGGAGATGGTGTACGCTGTGTTACCTCCAGGGTTGCGCGTGGGGGCAAGCGGGAAAGGAACATTGAATGCGCTCCACCCCACCCGCTGGCGGGCGGAAGAGGAGCAGGATGACTCCAAACCTACTCTGGCTTTTTTTTTTTCCCCCTCCTTTCTGTAGCGTCAGTGAACAACACACTCTATTTTTCATGCTTATTCCTCAGCATAGCAATATTCTTCTTTAAAAGATCAGATGCAGTAGCAACCTCCGCTACAAATAAGCAAACCTATAATAATTTGCTTCATGACACTCAATGTGACAACCCACTGTAAATATCCTGGCTCATAGCAAAGATGAAGCTGACACTAGGACACACACATTTACAGAAGTATTGCACAGAAGAAAAAAAAAAAGTGTTCACTGGTATAATGAGAAACGTTCGGACTTCCATGACTAAATAAGTGGCTGGCAGGCACCCAGAGTGTCACCTCCTGATCCATGGTGTCCCTTGATAAGGATGGGAGATTGTAATTGAATGTAGGGCAGGAAAATGTCAATTTATGGAGACATCCTTATTCTGGACACTTAATTTGGCTCTGCCTCTGAGGAATTTGTAGCACAACTCAAGTCTCCGTAAGAAGGAGCCACATGCTCTCTTCATTTAGAAATTTTCACGGAATTGAATAGGAACCCTGTGTACAGAGAGCTCCCATGACTGAGAGACATTCCCCCTCCTCCTAAAGCGTCACAGATTGCTTTATTTGTAGTTTCAAATGGGGCTATGCTACTGAACAGAAGACAAGAGTTTTTTTCTGATTTCTCAGTTTCAGTGGTACTCCACTTAAACTCCTCCTGCAGTCAGACCTGGAAATGCAGCTTCATTACCCCTACTAAGAAGTGGTCCTTTCAGAAAATGTGCAGGTCACCGAGTGCATTATTTCCAAAAGTAATAGCACTGACTCTGGAGACAGAGTGTGTCTGAGAAGTCTTGTAAATGTTTACAACAGTATTTAAACGTAACACTCCCACTACAATATGTTATGCCAGCCCATAAAGAGCATTTAAACATCAGACTCCCCCAGCAATATGTTGCACTAGCCACCATTCACAGAGAGGGGAAACTTTCAGAGATGGTCACTTTGAGCCGGCTGATAACTGTAGGTTTCCCCAGGTCAGGTAGCTGACTTCAGAGACGCCAGTGCCTGGAAATGCTCTGCCCTCCCAAATGCACAGGAGGGCACTGAAGATGCTAGTCAGTGAAGTCCTCTGTGTGTACAGCTGGGCATCAGAAATGGAGGCTTTCCAAATTAGCAGCTACTTTTAAAATTTGGCTTCTCCAACTTGCTCAGTAAGTCGGAAGCAGAACCGGGAAAAGAACATAGGAGCCCTGACTCCGGCGGTAATTTCCTGTTATAATTGCTAGACTAAACTTCTGATTTATTTTTATTTTAACTTTTCAGTTGTCACAGCTCCCTCCTCAGTCAGTGACTTTAATTAGTTTGCTGGCAAAGCTACAACATTCTCTGTAGGTGTTTCGCTATTCTGCCTTATGGATGTTTACACTTTGCCCTAACAGATATTATTTTCTTTCCCATATCTTCAGTTTCCCAAACTTTGCCCCAGAGGGAATTTGGATTCTCAAACAAACAAGCTCATTTTCTCTAGTGAGAAACATCATTAGGAAGCACTGACAGCAGCGAAGGCAACTCTCCAACTCCCTCCACCTTCAGGTCCAAACAAAACAGAAACTTGACAGTATTTGGTGGAAGGTAAAGCCTGAGTGAGATACACTAATGGCCTGAGAGGTCTGAAGTTGGGGGTTTTCTTTTTTTTTTTTTTTTAACTGTCTGTGGCTTCAGCAGCAGCAGAGTTGAATTGCATAAACATTTCCAAGAAACAGCCTGCTCCTTGGCGCAGAAGCAGCCAGCCCTGCCCAGCAGGGTGGCTCGAGCACCCGGTCGCTCTGCGACAGAGGTATCTCAGTGCTCATCCAGCCAGAGGGCAAGAACCGTTTTCGCCAAAGGTTTTTCTTAACTAAGTGCCAAAAAAGAGCAAGACGACACATTTTGTCTCTTGGTATTAACCTAAAGACGCTTATTTTACAAAATGTGGGATTTACCTTGTTTAAACCATTAACCTCCTATTCCCTCCCCACCCTGGCTTCTTGTGAATGGTGTTTAATAGTAAACCTTGGTTGGAGTTTAGGTCCTGCAATTCCCTCGCTGAGCATTATCTTTTCTTACTCCTTCTGCATACAGGGACTTATTTATGTTCCGAGTTAACCTGGCAAAGTTATGCCCCTATTCATAATGGCAAAATATTTTGTTGTTACCATGTTAACGTATGTTGTCCTGTTGCCTTTAGGCCCAGGTAGTCTTTGGCCTGGTTTCTACCCTTGGCTGCAAAAGCTGGGTGGAACCTCTCTCTTACCATGTTTGAAGTAATATTCAAACGAGGTTACGAACCATAACGTGAACGAGGTTTTTACGTTTTCAGCATACTTTTTGTCTGGGGAGTTGACAATTTTATGCTTTAAATGCTGATTTGACAGGCTTACTCCGTAAAACCAAAGCACCCAGCGTTTCTCCTGCTATGTGACTGTATGGCTCTCCAACACCTATATGTATCTTCATTTAGACTTTTCAAAGATTATTTAACGCAGCCAGGACAGGTAGGCCTTTGGGGATGATCAAAACCAAACAGATTTTTCAAGAAGGACCAGAAACTAGCTATTACTTGAAGTATTTCTCAATGTCCAGACCTAGGCCTACGTAACAGACTCTATGTGCTGCTTTGACTTTGGAAATCAGCAGGGGATTTGCAGAAGGGAGAGCCTTCCTTCCCCAGGGTAGCCCTGGGGTGGGAGCTCCGGCGGCCCAGAGCCCCTTCCTTCCTCGTGGCCCTCGGGCACAAACAAGGCAGTCTTGGACTGGCGGTGGTAGTGCTGAGGCTGAAGGGGACTCCCTCTGGCCTCGAATTCGGGAAGCAGCACGGATTCTGTAAGAGCCCTCGCCGGGCCCTCTGTCCACTAGCAGTTAGCCAAACGAAAGGACCTTGCCTTCTGATTCATGAGACAGCGATACATCACCTCGGTCTTCCAGACAAATGCCAAGACAAATGGAATCATCTTTGTAGGTTTACCTAGCCAGTGCACGTGTTTGCCTTAGCTAGATCCAACGTACGTACAAAGCCAGTATTTTTCATGTGGCACAGCAACAAAAATGACATTGATGTTCCATCCTTCACTGACACCCAGCTGCCTCTATTTTTCATCTTCTTCCTTTATTCAGCCAAAACCACAAATTGGCCATAATAAGATTTTAAAAGTGTTTAAGTTGAGCTTTTCTGCTGGTAACTGGCCAGCCAAGCTCTCTCACAGCCTATCAGATTGTGCATCTCATGGAGGAATCTGCCAAATCACTTGGCAGTGACAGACATAATAAAGGACTCTTTGCTTTCCCCAGACAATTCTCTCAAAGTATCAGTTTGCAGAGTCAGCAAAAACAAACCCACCCCCCCCGCCCCTGCTTAAAACTAGATTCATTATAAACAACAACGGGCAGAGAGTTCCCTCCAAGTGAAAGGCAGAGGAACGATGTATTTAGCGCTCTTCTTCCCCTATTCTTCCCCCAAGTTTGTGTTACACAGCTGAAAGGCGCACAGCACAGGGGGAAGATGAAGTCAGCATGACATTGGTAAGTGGGTCCCCTTCCTAGAAGAACTCGGGAAGGG